GACCTGAAGGCCTGGTGGGCCAGGATGTGATCTACTCTCTTCCTCCCCCTTCATTTGCTCCCGTGTGCTCTCATCAGACATGTCCCTCTCCGTGAGGAAGATAGCATCTTTACATTGAGTTTTTTCTGGTGGAATTGATAGATCTTTATCTAATAAGCTGCATTTACAAGAAGATTGCGGATGGACTTAGCATTTCATCTTTGACCATCAGTTTTCTTTTTAATGTAATTTCCCCATGAGCAATTTAATGTATATTTTTGGCTATTTTTTCACATGCCTGTACCCCATTTGATTATTTAAAAGTTGTTTCTTTCCTTGAGTAGCGTAGTCCAAGGAGATGAAGAACTTTGTGAGTGTCTATTCATTGTGTCACTTCTTTTAAATATATTGGGAATAAAAGAAGCATGGCCAATTTTTACTATATTTAATAAATTAATTATTTTAATGGTAATTTCAAAGGACAATTTCCAGCAATTCTTTGAGAATACCTTTTTACTGACATAAATCCTAAAAAGTAGTTGCAAATTGTCTTCAAAAAAGAAAACCTACAAAATCTCTGAAACGTGGGCAATGCAATCTCAAGTGTTGGTAATTCATAGGTATAAATGTTTTTGTCATAAAAAACAGAATAAAACAAAATTATTAAAATTTTAGGGTTTTATTATGGAAACAATTCTACGACAAACAGAAGGAAATGTGGCAATACAATTGTACAGATGTAAAATTTTGAAACTGGTGAACATACTCCTTTGCAGTCCACCAAAAGATTTTTCCAACACTGAGAAACAGGGATTGAAGTTAGAAGATCTGACTGCAGGTCATGACTACTCAGCTAAAGCGGTGGGCAAACATAGTGACCTTTTGTGACCTCCTTTGGCTACACAGGGAAGAAAAAGAGTCCAACTCGTTACCAGCCCAGGTTCTGTTGCCATCAGGCAGAGGTCAGACATAGCTCCACTTTCCATCCTTCTTGTAGCTTATTCTGACACCAGTTGACCCTCTCATGGGACTCTGCTTCTGCACTGGGTTTATTAATTTGCTGCAGTGGCCACACAAAACTCACAGATAATACTTAGAATTAAGGGGGGTTATTAGGGAAATAAACAGGTTACCACAGGTCAGGATCCGTGAGCCTTAAGGATACAGTCCTTAGTACTTATCACCACCTCTTCTCAGCCAGCAACCAGTTAGCCTCCTGTCCTTTGGCCTCTATCTCCACCTCTTGGCCAACCAGTTAGCCTCCTGTCCTTTGGCCTCTATCTCCACCTCTTGGCCAGGGAGCCCACCTGCTGCTCTGCCTCATAGTCACATAGTTTCTGCTCTGCTCTGCTCTGTCATGGCCACTTTAGGCAGGGATCTCGAACATGCTCAGTGGTGGCTCTTCTTCCTTGGTGGTCCCAGGACTTCTCTGTCTGCAGAGGAATGGCTCTGATGGAGACTCTACCCCCATAAATAAAATAAAAGCCTGGTGACTTCTTTACACTCTCTAGAAAGGTAGAGACACAGAATATATATGTATCCCACCGTAATCTTCTATATTAACATAATAAAGCACTCCCTCCAAAATGGGATTATAGTCACAGATATGGAGGCTGGAATTTATAATACCACAATAGGGAATATAGCTAGAAGGGCCATATTAAGAAATCGACTACCTCTCACTTTTCTACTGCTTATCATTCTTCTTTGTAAAATGTGATGCCA